TGCTAAGTGTCTGGTCGTCCAGTCGGCCATTCAACCAATCAAAGTGTAATATGCTAATGATATGCTAAGGCCACTCAACCGCTCGCTATGATGTGCACTGACTACCAGGGAAGAGACACTCCAACTGGTAGGTTAGCTTGCTGCTGGGATCCAGCTGATTCAGACTGAGCGAGACGGGCTGGACACGCCCTGGAGCCCTCACGGGGTTTCTCCCCGGCTGGCCAACTTCCTGCATCCCTCCCCAGCCCTGATCGTGCAGATTGTGCACTGGTGAGGTCCCTCAGCCTGGCCTGCACTGTCTTGCAATCCAACCTGAGGGAACCCCCCCACCCCCCGAGTGCATGAATTTCGTGCACCGGGCCTCTAGTAGTAAATATTTGTCCTTTCCTTGATTTGTTTTGTTTTGGTGATGGGATAGTGATCAATAGGAGTTAATCATTGTACTAAAACATAAATGACCTCTCCAAGATCAAGATTATAAAGGGGAGAACAGTAATTATATGGTAAAAAAAGAAGTTGCCCTGGTTTAAATACTGTGCCATTATTGTTTGGATTTGGGCTGTAAGGTGTTCAGGATGGAAAACAGCAAATCATTAGCATGTTTTCTACCTGTTCTTCTTGTAATAGATAACACATTTACAAGTTTAAGAATTTGTTTTGGAGCTATAAAACAGCAACATTATTGAGCTTATGCAAAAAACCAACCCACTATAATGACTTCATTAACTAAGATAACTTTTCCATATCTAGCAAGCATAGAAGTAACTATTAGTTGAATGAATGGATGAAATTGACTTAGCTACAGTCAATAGATTCTTACCACCCCTGGGAAACCATTAAACACACACACACACACACACACACACACACACACACAGCCAAGCCAGTGTGGATCAGTGGTTGAGCTTTGACCTATGAACTAGGACCAGGTTGTGGGCTTTATCCTCAGTGTGGGGGCGTGCAAGAAGCAGCCAATCAGTGATTCTCTCTCATCATTGACGTTTCTAGCTTTCCCTCTCCCTTCCTCTCAGAAATCAATAAAAATATATTTTAAAAAAATAACAACACACAGAGGAAGAACTTTAGTACATAATGTTCTAGGGCCTTTTCTATGTTTTTCCTCTGGATTTCATGCAGCAGTTGCCTCATGAAGAGAAGATAAAATCATGCTCCTAGAGCAGTGGTTCTCAACCTTCCTAATGCCGTGACCCTCTAATACAGTTCCTCATGTTGTGGTGACCCCCAGCCATAACATTATTTTCGTTGCTACTTCATAACTGTAATTTTGCTACTGTTATGAATTGTAATGTAAATATCTGATATGCAGGATGTATTTTCATTGTTACAAATTGAACATAATTAAAGCATAGTGATTAATCACAAAAACAATATGTAATTATATATGTGTTTTCCGATGGTCTTAGGCGACCCCTGTGAAAGGGTCGTTTGAGCCCCAAAGGGGTCGTGACCCACAGGTTGAGAACCGCTGCCCTAGATGAAAGACACCTGGACCTGTCCATAACCAAAGCTCTCCTTTTTCTCAGAGTATGAAGGTGACTCCATTTTCAAAGAGGATTCAAGACCTAATTTGATCCAGAACTGGAGGGGAAGTTGGAGGAACTAATGGATAACCTTCTGACTAACCAAATTTAGAAATGATCAAAAGAAAGCATGAATAAGATACCAGAATAAAAGAGTATATTGGGAGAGAATAGCTCTAATGAATAAGAGAAAGGTACCCCAACACTTTAGTTATCTGCCAGAGATAGAGACATTTATCAAGGTCTGGCTAGTAATTTCCTTGTCCTTAGTCCTGCCTTCCTCTTTCTTTCTGAACCTTTCAAATGCAGAGCCTTTACCCTGCAACTCAGGATTGTTTAGTCCATCAGCACATAAAAAACTTGTTCTTCAGAACCTGAAAATGAGCAATACTGTTTCCTTAGCTGCTATGAATCCAATGGAAGCAAGAACTAGATGAAATAGCAGAAGGCCTGGGTTGGAGTCCTGACTCTGTCATGTTCTGGTTGAGTGACCTTATGCCTATTAGTGATCTAACTCATGGCTTCCTTACCTCATTCATTTAACAAATGTTTCCTGAGCAGTCACTGTGTACCAAGCACTAGCCTTCGGCACTAGTGATATAGCAATGAATAAAATAGATCCTGCTCTAACAGAGTTTATGTTCTAGTGAGATTATAATAAGTAATCAAGCAATAAACAATGTAATTTCAAGAAGTAAGCAGTACTGAGGGAGAAATAAAACAAATAATAAAGTCAAATTAGAAGGAGGGTTCCCATGAAGAGGGTGGGGAGAGGGTCTCCTTGAGGCAGTAACATTTGAACCAAGACCTGAATGCACTAGGAGGCAACCAAAGAAAAGAGAATTCCAGGCAGAGGGCCCAGCAAGCCCTGAGGTGGGTCCGCGTTTCCTGGATAACAATCAAGGAAAATGGCACTGGTATGTGGTTGTACTAGATCAATGGTTTTGACACAGCACTCCAAGTAATGCTAGAACTTCCCTGGTTGGTGTCGCAGGGGAGGGAGGTGGGGGGTCAGGGCCAGAGGCTCTTACCAGGCTCCCACACTCTGTAGAACAAACAGCAGCTCCTCCTGAAGCATATACCAGGGTGCTGCTTAAGATTTTGCTTGAAGAACATATTCTGTGACCAAAACTTCTTGATCTCAATAGTCCTTCCCTACTTTAATTGTTAGACACTATGAGAATTTATCACACAACCACTGTGATCCCTAAAGAAGGTGGACTGAACCTCTGACACCCTACAAGCCTGTCCCAGGTAGGGACGATGCATGTCTCTGCCTCGTCCTAGTGGACTATGCTGATGTTCTTTCCTTGCACTGTCCGGTTGAGACTCTGTCCTACACAGCAGAGCTTTGTGGAAAGAGCCAAGGAATGGCTCCGGTTTTTTCCAACCTATAAAATGCAAAGTTGGCCAGCTGCCTTTCTTCCTAACCCCAAAACTCATATCTTTCCTTGTCTCCAGAGAACTGTCCGGCAGCTCTCAAATAACTCTCTGCTGTCCTGGGGTTTTGGGAAAAGCGACGCGCAGAATGTGAAATCACTTTCTGGTAACACGAATCTAATTAGCTCTTTGACTGACAAAGGGAAGCAGAGGCCAAGAGGGATTTTAACAATCTGTTTCTCACATATTTAAAAACAAGTGAAGAACCCGGCAGAGAAATGGAGAGAAAGAGGAAATAAGGATGCAGAACATTTGGAAAAGGGGTAAGAAAGAGAAGGGGGGCGGGGAGTAGAATATCAAGTGACCAATATATTAATCCTTTCTTCCCCCAACTTCACCCGGGCTCCCGGCTCCAGTCTCCTCTCTCTCTGAGAGAGAACTTACTTGAAGGTCGGTGATTTCTCTTTCTGATTCCATCTTGCTTCCCTCAATGGCCTTCGCATGTACCGAGTGCCCTCACAGACTGCGTGGGCGACTCCAGGCTTTGCTGTCTGAGTCTCTACTGCTTCCTTTGGGTGGGAGAGAGCACACAGCTGGCAGGACAGACGTGCTATTCATCCATCTGATGTGGGATGCCTGTGTTAGCCTCAGCCCCTGGGAGAAGTGTACACATGCATACACGTGAGAGGGAGCGAGGGGGGGAGAGAGCGAGAGAGAGCGAGAGCGAGCGCACTCGTACTCTAATGGTGGCGTGCGACACATTGATAGGTGGCCTTTTGAATTGGAGTGGCAGCATCATTTTCTCCAGTGGCTCCAATATCCCTCCAGTCCCAGGGGAGCCATCTGAGGTCACCCAGCCTGCTTTTAGTCAGGAACTTGAAAAACAGCCCGAGGATACTGTCTGACTTCACAATGGTGGAGCTGAGTAGGGTTCCCGAGTAGGGATGACCTCCAGCATTTACCCAAGACTCAGGCTTAGGCACTTCCCCTGTTATTTCCTATGTTCCCTCTATCTTTAAAATATTTTTTAAATTATAGTTTACCCAATGGGCCCAAAGCATAAGGCTTATTCTACAAAGTAAATAAACAACACGTTGTTATTGACAGGTTGGCTGATGCGCTCTCATTTTCTCCCTTGATGAGGGAAAAAGAGAGCAGGAAAAGTAACGCCTTCAAATTCTGTTCATGCAAATAGTTGCGTTTTCCCGGCTTTTAAAGTAAATCTACCAGGAGTGAATCCTTTTGGGGGGAATGTTTTCTTTCTGGTGTTTATCTCAGAGCCTCAAACTCCTGTGGCTTGTTCCTAAAGCTGGTTTTACACTGACGCTTGTGTCTGTGTGGGGGTGGGTATGCCCCTGAGTGCATGAGGGGGTGGTGGTAAAGGGGAGGGGAGTAATCCAATTCAGAGTTTAAAGGAAAGGGGGCGGGGGGGAGGGGGGAGAGAAGCAAAGTCACAAATTTACTCTCACCACATCCAAATGTAAAAAACGGGGAATTTCTATTAGATGATATAATGTCTTCATAAGTCCCTACACTGCCAGACAAGTAGTGAGAGGAGGATGAGCTATATTTCAGCGTAGACTAATTTAAATTATAAACAGTTCAATTTCGATAGAATGGTCAGTCTTTGAGATTTCCACGCATCTCCCCAAAGATGGCATTTAGAAGAAGGGCGTGGGTTATGTATGCTTGGTGATGGAGAGGCCATAGTTCTTGGATGTTCCCTGTGGCCTATCTCTGCAAGTTTCTGCTATGGAGCTGCTGGGCTGCCCCCTGAATTGATGAGTGCTAAGGAAAGACTCAGCCTGCTCCTGGGCCTCCTGCTGGCCTTGGTGGCTGATGTCTGTGGCCAGGACAACTCATGGTACATTCTCTGTCTGCTCTTAAGGATCCAGGGAGGCTCCCTTGTTGACTCTGCCCTATCTTGGTTCCCATGGTGATGTGGACCATCCTGAGATCTGCTGTGATTTGTATGTGCTCCATCCCAGTGGTACCAGCTCAGTGGTCCACCCCGCCTAAGATAATTCCCTCTGAAAATCTCCTACCAGACCTTCGGCTAATGCTCCTGTTTCCCTTCAGGTACATGGGGACTGAGAACTGCTGACAGTCCAGGAGAAAGGCAAGCTCAGCTCCACTTCTGGTAAAGAGTTTGCTTTGATGTGGCTGCTCCAAGTTGAGTTGATCTTCCAGACTCCAAAGTGGGAGAGAGATGTTGAACCTACTCTCAGCGTTCCTTCAAAATCCACCTGTAATACCCACCACTCCCATCCCCCATAACCATGCCACTACACAATAAACACCATTCTAAGCACTTTAGTACAACTCACTTACTTAGTTCTCATAACAGTTCTGAAATGTAGGCAATACTTTTATCCCTGCTGTGCAGATCAGGAAACAGAAAAACAACTTAACATTGCCCAGGCATTCCGATTCAGAGTCCATGCTCTTCTCCACCATTCTGGCTCAGAGAGGAGGGACTGAGACACGTGTTTGAATACCTGCTTTCTCTTCCTTTGCTTTCTGTCTTCCTATAATCCCCACAGTTTAGGGCAGTGATGGCGAACCTTTTGAGCTCGGCGTGTCAGCATTTTGAAAAACCCTAACTTAACTCTGGTGCCGTGTCACATATAGAAATTTTTTGATATTTGCAACCCTAGTAAAATCAAGACTTATATTTTTAATATTTATTTTATATATTTAAATGCCATTTAAAAAGAAAAATCAACCAAAAAAAATGAGTTCGCATGTCACCTCTGACATGCGTGTCATAGGTTAGCCATCATTGGTCTAGGGTCAGAAAAGGTGGACTTTGTTTTCTTTCTCTTCCTGTTTGAGTAGGATGTGCCTTGTGAGGAACTCTATGATAACAATTCAAAGAAGAAATAAAGAGATTTAGAAAATCCTCATCCTCAACAAACCTGTCTGTCAAAAATATTGTCTTGCTGGAAGGATATATGTATCCTAGTGATAAGTACATTGGTTTTTAAAGGAAAAGCTGTGATTCACTATAATAATAGTTTTAGTTTGGCAAGATCTTCCTGGATTTAGACCTTCCCCCACCTTATATGCATCATTTGGAAGTAAGTAGCAAACAGGATTTGGAAAGTATTTTATCTGCTGTGACTCTGGATCAGGTGTCAGCAAATTTTTTCTGCAAAGGATCAGAGAGAAATATATTTTTTTTTTTACCTTTGTGGGTCATATGGTTTCTGTCGCAACTACTGTACTTAACTCCGCTATTGTAGCATAAAGCAGCTGTTGATAATATGTAAACAAATGAGTGTGGCTGTGTTCAATAAAACTTGATTTACAAAAACAGCAGAGCAGATTTGACCCCACGGGTCATAGTCTGCTGACTTTTGTTCTAGAATATGAGCAAAAAGAGAATCTGGAGTTCTAAATATCACAACCATGTCCAGTCTTCTAGATCATGTCTTTCAAATCTAGTTTCCACTTGTGAGGTAACAGCTGAGCCCCCTACTGCAAGGATAATATGTTAAACACTATGGGGATATGAAATCACAAAATGCATGCCCTTGTGAGACACATACCTGGAAAGTTAATCTAGAGTGAAGAGTGCTTCTGACATTTGGCTGTAATACTGAAACCATAGCTACATGAAGGCTGTTCAATCTAGATGGGAAAGTTTACAGTGTGAAGTTCAAGGGACAGTTTTAGGGAAACTGCCTCTTGGGAAGGATTTTTTTAGAACATGTTTGAACTTACAGATAAGTGAACACCCAGAGCCACTCAGGCAGTGGTCACGGAATGGGGACCTATAATGGGCCCCTACGGGTGACTTGCTATGTAGAGGTGTAAATTGTTGTAGGGCACTGAAGAAGCCAGCAGTGAGAAGATCTCTTAATGCTGAACAGTGAGAAGAGCCCTACAGTGGAAACCAGATGGCCCGGTTCCTGTGTGTGCTGGATCACTGTGTTCTTAGGCAAGTCACTGAACTTCTCTGATATTCTCCTTTGTGAAAAGTGAAGCTGTCCAAAAAGATGATTTCTAAGATCCCTTCAATTCTTAAATTCTGTTTCTAATGTGTGTTTTTATTAAACACTTCCTGTGTAACAGTATAAGATCTCAGATCCAGGTCTGAATTTTAGTATGTAAAAGTTAAGGATTCCTAGTGGAATATTTATGTAATTAGAAAAATTTTAAGAAAAGTTACCCCTGTTACCTCTGCTAGTAAAGACTGGACAGGAAAGATGCACGACAAACAAGATACCAGAGTGAGAATAAAGGCATACTTCAGGAAATGCTTACAAACTCATGTATGCTCACTTACATATTCATTCAGCCACTTCCCAACTCACTGCCCCAGGAATCCCAGGCCCAGAAGGAAAGGGAAACTTTGGGAGAGGGAGCTACCAGTGCAGGACCTGATGAGGGCCTAGGTTGACCAAATGGATAATTAAGAGATTGGGTGACTCTAGCACTGTCCAATAGAACTTTCTCTCTAATGAACTAACTATTCAGTATAGCAGCCATTAGCCACATGTAGGTATTGAACACTGGAAATGTGGCTAATATGACTGAGGATCTGAATTTAAAATTTAATTTAATTTAAATATATTTACATTTAAATAGCTAGTAGCTACCATATTGGGCAGTGGAGCTCTAGACCAAAATTCAGTATATTTAAAACATTGAGCAAAAAAGAGAAAGAAGGCCCTAACCAGTTTGGCTCAGTGGATAGAGTGTCCGGCCTGCGGACTGAAAGGTCCCAGGTTTGATTCCGGTCAAGGGCATGTACCTTGGTTGTGGGCACATCCCCAGTAGGGGGTGTGCAGGAGGCAGCTGATCGATGTTTCTCTCTCATCGATGTTTCTAACTCTCTATCCCTCTCCTTTCCTCTCTGTAAAAAATCAATAAAATATATTTAAAAAAAAAGAGAGAGAGAAAGGGAGAAAGAGAGAGAGAGGGAGAGAGAACTCATGGACATGGAGAACAGTGTGGTGATTGCAGGGGTGGTGGGGAAGTGGGTGGAGGGGAAGTGGTTGGAGGTGAAAGAGGGGATAAATGGTGATGGAAAAAAAGGAAAATAAAATAAAGGGAAAAAAAACATTGCTGAACTGTGGTCATCACTTATTTAATACTCCCACCCTGGCTGCTCATCTCTTGATAGATTTTCATTAGACAAAAGTCTAATTTGACATAAATAGGAACAGGTCACACAGCCCTCATGGGAATGCCCCCCTGAGACCCGGGGATGCTCTTGGTTGTGGTAAGTAAAATTCCCCTTCGGTCTTTTGCACTCAGGGTAGGGGGATTTTAACTGTGACTCACTATTCAATGAATGATTAATAACAGAGCCTTGTCATGTTGATAGGGAACACTTCTCACCTCTCACCTCTGTGATGAAGTTAAAAGGTGCCTGGCACTCCTTTGGTGGCTTAAGGGATTGAGAAGGGTGATAGACGATCTCTTCTTAATAAGAGAGACATCAGTGGTTTTCAAAGTTTTTAAAGCAAGGGGTTCCTTTAAAAAAAAAAATTGAGATCTTATGCAGAAGTTAACATAAAGCAGATTAAAGTGAAACTGATGGGATCTGGAGTCACGTTCCACCCTCTATTTATCAAGCTACCCCTTAAGGCACCTCTTGGGAATTCCTGGAATTCTGAGCAGGTGACATGGTTTACGGGCCTCTAAGGGCCTTGGGTGTGTTAGGGCTGAGCAATCACAAGTCATACAAAATTGTGTGGCTTTTTTCAAGTCTCGAAATGACATATTGAACAATAAAGAAGACATGAAAAGCACAGTCAAAATTGTGCCCACTGATCGCAGCAGCAGATGGGATGCTGGCCCACAGGGCCTTTTTTATTGACGGTGTTCCGCAGTGAAGGCTAAGTCTCACTGTTGCACCTTTTCCCAGAGAGCACAAAGGACTCCAGGTTGGAATGTGGTGAAGATGAAGGCTGGAAGGTGCCATGGGGAATGGGTACAGGGCTGCAAAACTGGTGGGAAGAGGCGGGGAGGCGTGGGTGGGAGGGGGTGGAGTGGTGGTGGTGGTGGTGGTGGTGGTGAATCACACAGCACAACAGTAGAGTTCTTAGTAGAGTATGGAAATCAGAGCTCTGAAAAAAACCTCAGAGATGGAGGTACCAGTCTAACCACCCTGTCTTATAGTTGACAGAGGAAGCTTAGTGGTGAAGGTGGATTAGAGAATTAGTAGGTAAGTGTCCTGGTTATCCTTTTAATCACGTGGATGTATACATGTGAGTGTGTGTGCATGTGTTCATGGAAGACAACTAATATGGGAATAGTTGCTTATAATTTCAAAATACTTTGTACATATTTTATTTTATTTGACACTCACAATGACCCAGTTGCAATTTACAGATGAGGAAACTAAAACCAAAGTGATTTGCCAAGATCATGCAGCGACTAGGTGATAGAGCCAGAAATATTCAATTCAATATTTCTTCTTTCCAATTCTTTTTCTTTTTTTCCACATGCTACTGTTTAACATATACCCTCAACCCCTGCCACACACTCAGACACAAATCCTATCATTATTGCTACTTGTGCAGTGGAGCTACACCAGTGTTGATGACAGTAACTCATTATCAATCAAGAAAGACCTACTTTTGACTTCTGGTCCTGCTATTTACTAGTTGTGTGTGCGTGCGTGCGTATGTGTGTGTGTGTGTGTGCGTGCGTGCGTGTGTGTGTGTGTGTGTGTGTGTGTGTGTGTGTGTGTTTTAAAATAGACTTTATTTTATAGAGCAGTTTTAGGTTCACAGCAAAATAAAGCACACAGTACAGAGATTTCCCACATATCCCTGACCCTACACACGCACAGCCTCCCCCACTAACAACACTGGGCACCAGAGTGATACAGTTGTTATAATCGGTGCATCTACACCAAGATATCACTGTCACCTGAAGTTTATGTGTACATTAGGGTTCACTCCTGTTGTACATACTATGGGATTTGACTAGCTGTGTTTTTGAGCAAGTTACTTTTTGCTTCCTTTTCCCCTGTAAAAATGGGGGTCATAAAATCTAACTTGTAAAGATCACTGTGAAATTAAACTAAATCAGATCATGGTTGTAAAGCGATTACCTGCCTTGCACAGAGTAATAAGAACACATTAGATGGAGCTAATATGAGCTTTCATATGAAGGTCATCAGCTAAGGTCATAAGCCTAGCTGTAAAACCTTCCGGAGTCTTTTTCTTGTTCTCCTTTAGCTCAGTCCAGACCCTCTAGTCTATACTAACATAATTCAGCCAGAGATGAGTTTTAGAAGTTTCTTAAATATATTTGTCCACAAAGATTTACTGTGCTACTGAGAGAAACTTCAGTTGTAAGTTTGGTTCTTAGAAGAGGAAGGGTTAGGTGAAGC